TTTCGGGACAGAGAGAGACAGAGCATGAACGGGGGAGGGGCAGAGAGGGAGACACAGAATCTGAGAAATTTAAATAAAAACACCACTTTCAATAGTGTGAAAGTGTGAAAAATATGAAATACTTAGAGAAAAATCTGACAACAGATGTGACAGGCCCACGTGACTGAGTGCCACAACACATTGCTGAGAAAAATTACATAACCAGTGGAGAGAGAGACTGTTTCTGTGGGTTGGAAGATGTGGTATCGCTAAGATCCAATTCTCAAGCTCATCCATAGATCTGATGCGATCTCAGTCAAAATCCTAGCAGCTGGGAGCCTCTGATTTCTTGTTACTCATATCGGTTTTCTCCAAAGAGCAATGGTCAAACTTCTGTGAAAAATGGCCACAGCACTGTCAATCAGTGGACAGCGTGGGCTCAGGGTAGACAGGACTCACAGGGACCACTGTATGGCTCTGCCATTCTCTGGCTAGTGAGCTCAGGCAGCTCCTTCACCCTCCCTGATCTCAGCTTCCTCATCTCTGGAATGGAGTAATGTGAGCAGCTGCCTCCTGGAGATGTGGAGGGCTTTAATGAAGTGGGGAAATTCAACACTTGGCCACCGTCTGTGTATGGTAAGCCCTCATGGGGTGTGAGCTCTGAGGAGTTGCTACAGAAGGCACATCCACTCACCCTAAGAGATTTCATTTGTTCATCCCTTCACTCATCCATCCGCCCACCTACCCACTCACTCGCTCATCCATCCATCCATCCATCCACCCATCCATCCATCTATCCATCAATCATCCATCCACAGACCCATCCATCCACCCACCCATTCACCTATCCATCCATCATCCATCCATCCATCCACCCACCCATTCACCTATCCATCCATCCATCCATCCATCATCCATCCACCCATCCATCCATCCATCATCCGTCCATCATCCATCCATCTATCCATCCATCTGTCCAGCCATTCATCCAACCATCATCCATCCATACATCCACCCACCCACCCAACCATCCGTCCATCCATCCAGCCAGCCAGCCAGCCAGCCTGCCAGCCATTCATCCAACCATCCAACCATCCATCCATCCATCCATCCATCCATCCATCGCCATCTACCCATCACTCCATCATCTCCATCCATCCACCCATCCATCCATCTATCCATCAATCATCCATCTACAGACCCATCCATCCACCCACCCATTCACCTATCCATCCATCCAACCATCCATCCATCCATCCATCCATCATCCATCCATCATCCATCCATCCATCCAATCATCATCTACCCGTCCCCCTCTCCACCCCCTATTCCTCCCTCCCTCCCTCCCTCCCTCCCTCCCTCCTCCACCCACCCAGTCACCCAGAAGCAGAGTTACCGAGCACATCTACTGTAAAGCTGGCCTGTGGAGGATCCTACATAGGCTGCTGCTCTCAAAGCACTCACAGAAAGAAGGCCAGCAAGTCACACATTGTGGCCAGGGTGGTGATGACTATGGTCAGGGTAAGGGTATGACACTCGAACTAGGTCCACCACTGCCTAAAGGTGGCTGGGTCTTCTGAAGCACAGTGGCCTTTTCTTCATAAGGAGGCCGGCCCAGTGGCCACCTGCCCAGTGGGGCCCAGGCCAAGAAGCCCAGCCTGCTGACTTGGCCTTTCCCCATTCTTACCCAGAACAAATACTCCGTGTGCTTATCCACCCACACTTTATAGACCGCTTGGGGGGAAGGTAAGTTTATGTCCTATTCATGAACTCTTGCAGTCCAGGAGATGATGTGGGACCTGGTCCTGCACACCCATAGGTCTTTCAGAACCTTTGAAGGGGCAGGACGTGGGCATGGCTGGTGCTGGCCTGCCCTTGAGTCCTCAGATGCTCACTTGCCAGGAACTCTTTCCCTGTGGCTTGCTGGGGCTGGGGTCTCCCCTGGGTGTCCAGAGGGGCCGAGAACCCATGATTTCTTTCGGCACGCCCTCCGTCTGCCTGCTGAGGCTGGGCCAGAGCCGTGGAGCTGGGGTTGGGTGTAGGGTCTGAGAGGGGTGTGTATATAGAGAGAAGGTGGGGAGAGGGAGAGAGAGGGAGATTTATTTTAAGGAATTGTGGGGCCTACAAGTCTGAAGCCTGCAGGTTGGACACCAGGGAAGGCCGATGTTGCAGCTCCAGACCAAAGGCCATCCGGGAGCAGAATCTCTCCTGGAGTCCCTCAGTCTTTTTTCTCTAAAGCCTTCAACTGATTGGATGAGGCCCACCCACATTATGAAGGGTGATCTATTCACATCTAAAACATACCTTCATAACAACATCTAGATTGGTGTTTTATCAAAAATTGGTACTGTGGCCTAACCATGTTGACGCATAAAATTGACCTTCACACCAGGTGACCCAGAACGGGGTGGGGGTGGTGGGCTAGGGATGCACCTGCTATCTTCGGGTCTCTCTGACAGGTGTGAGGCTTCATCTTCTCTCTTCTCTCCACAACCTTCCTTTCTTCTTCCTCCTTCCCACTTCCTTCCTGCCCCCCCAACCTCCTTCCCACCTTCTCCCCTCCCCCTACAAACCCCTCCCCCCCACAACCCTTCCACTTCCCGATGAGTCAGGTTTGTGGACAGAAAGCCGTAGAACAGGCACTTTAGGCTGCGTTTCATGACGTCTTTGTGGCCTCCTCCCTGTGGTAAATTCGTGCGACACTTGGGAACCGTGTCTTGTCAGGGTAAACACTGCTGGGTGTGGGGCCTGGTGGGGAGGCCCCAGGTGCCCCGGCCCTGTGCTGGGGGTCTGCCTGTCACGGATGCAGTCAGCGACCCCTCAACAGCCTCCCGGCTGCAGCTGGGCAGGGCTGTGTCCTCCAGAGGACAGGGGACGAGGAGCCTGTGGGGCCCAGGGGGAAACACACTCCAGCTGCAGAGGGGAGACCCCCAGGGCACACCGTCCCTTTCCCACATCTGTCCGTGTGTCACAGGTGGTGGGTGGACGTGCCTCAGGGCCCCGGGCATCTGTGGCCCCAGCTGGGCACTTTCCAGTTTGTCTACCCTGTATGCAGCGGAGCCTGCGCCCCATTGACTCACCTGTGAGCGGCCCCATGACCACGGCGAGAAAGCCCAGCTGGCAGCGGGGGCTGACCGGGGATCCGATGGTGGGGATGAGCGTGGGACTCGGTCCCAGACTCTGGAGGGGGCAGTGGGGCGACGCTGGTCACCCCAGCCTGATGGAGCGTTCACTGCCGCCTTCTGTAGGCTCCTTCCCACCACGCACTCGGAGCCTCACCCTGTGCCTGGCGGTCGGATGTCACCGCTCTTCAGGTGCCACCTGAGACCCTGCAACTGGGCAAAGAGGGTCAGGGTCAGACCTTGGGGCCTCAGGTCAGCCCTGCTGCCCCTACACATAGGAGATGTAGGGCTGACCTTCTCAGACCCCGGGGAGGGCCCCACCTTCTCAACCCCAGGGGAGGACGCCACCTTCTCAATCCCAGGGGAGGACACCACCTTCTCAGACCCCCGGGGAGGACCCCCACCTTCTCAATCCCAGGGGAGGACTCCACCTTCTCAACCCCAGGGGAGGACTCCTGCCTTCTCAATCCCAGGGGAGGACGCCACCTTCTCAGACCCCAGGGGAGGACCCCACCTTCTCAATCCCAGGGGAGGATGCCACCTTCTCAATCCCAGGGGAGGACTCCCACCTTCTCAACCCCAGGGGAGGACTCCCGCCTTCTCAATCCCAGGGGAGGACACCACCTTCTCAGACCCCAGGGGAGGACCCCACCTTCTCAATCCCGGGGCAGGACACCACCTTCTCAGACCCCCGGGGAGGACCCCCACCTTCTCAATCCCAGGGGAGGACCCCCACCTTCTCAATCGCAGAGGAGACTCACACCTTTTCAGACCCCAGGGGAGGACTCCCACCTTCTCAGACCCCAGGGGAGGACTTCCACCTTCTCAATCCCAGGAGAGGACCCCAGCTTCTCAATCCCAGAGGAGGACTCCTGCCTCTCATATTCAGGGCAGGAGGGGCTGGGCTGGGTGTCCAGTGTCGGGCCAGGATTTCTCTGAATCCCAGCAGGGCAGAGGAAGCCTGGCATGGAAAATCACTGCCTTGGGGGGCTGTGAGGGGCCCCTGTTCCTGGGTTTCCCCGGGGCTCAGTGCCAGCCTGTTCAGCCCCACGGGGAAGTGGCACAATGGGCCTGCTGGCCCAGCTGGCTCTGGTTTCCTAATCCCTGCTGCTCCTGGCTCAGGCCACATACTCGTGCCTGGGTCCCTGGGTCCCTGCAGAGAGGACAGTTCCTGGGCCTGGGGCTGGCGGCACAGTGGGATGGGAGGAGATGCTCCATCCCAGGACCCCAGGAGTGGCAGGCTCACTGCCCCTGGCTCCCAGCCACCCTCTTAGACCCTGGGGGATCAGCCCCTTGTTGGGGCCCCAGGAATCATCGGGTGGCGTGAACAGGCTTCTCGTCCCTAGATGCTGTCACTGTGGTGCGGAGGTCCTGTCTGCAGAGGAAGGGCCCACACGGAGGCGCAGGCCAAGGTGCTGACTCTAGCCGGGTCACTGTCTCCGAGGGCAGCCTGGGTCAGGGAGGAAGGGTGTCCCACGCCCCCACGCTCTGGGCATCCACCTCATCCAGAGTCTCAGTGATTGTTGACATGCGTGGGGCCCCCCCCCCCCCGCCCACACCTGCCCCTGAAGCTCGGGGACGACTTGACTGTAATTTGTGGAGGCTGAGACTCGGTTCTCTCCCCACCTGCCAGGAGACAAAACTCCGGGCCAGGCAGGGGAGGCTGACAGCCTGGGGCCACGTTCCCTTTGAGGACGTCCACTCCCAGCCTCCTGCCGGCCCTCCCGTGTCCCAGAGGACGCGTTTCGGCACAGCGTCCTCTGGCTGGGCTTCCCAAGTTTCAGTTACAGGTAACTCCAGAGACTGGATCAGCCTGGGAACAGGAGGGGATTAGGGGGCGGGCAGAGCTGGGGGCCTGATGTTACCCAGTGGGCCGCCCTCCGAAACCAGCCAAGGAGCAGAGTCTGCACAGAGATGAGGCAGCCTCTGGGCCTCACCGGAGCCCACACATTCCCTGCCTTGGGGGGCTCGGGGCCCCAGTCGGGGCAGGGCCTCCGGAGCGGGAGAGCAGGGAGGGAGGAGCAAACACAGGGCAGTGGGTCTCCCTGGGAGCCCCCCTCAGGGAAGCACCTCCTGCAACCCTCGCTCTGCTGGGATGTGGGACAGGGTGGGCGGGGGCCGGGAGGACCAGGGGCCTGTGGGATGTGGGCGCGCAGGACCTCCCCGGGTGGGCCCTGTCCTGCTTGCTGCTGGGAGGGTGTGTGTTGGTCGGAACCGGGGTCATGGGTGTTGGGGCGTCCTGAGAAGGGCTGGCTTTACTGAGAGCTAATAAAAAGATAAACCACAGATAACTTGAATCAATATTTCCCAAGTGACACCACGGGAGCCCCCACAGCTGTTTTCCTGATAACCTGGCAAACGCCCCACCCACGCTTTGCCCCTCCCCTGCTCTCCCCGCCTCTGCCGGTCCTGCTGGGCCATATAAGGCCCGGACCCCTGCCCCAGTTGCTCTCCCCCGCCACCCTTCTGAGCCACCATGGGGCTGCCGCTAGCCGGCCTGGTGGCCGTCTGCCTGGCCCTGAGCTCAGCTGGGGGTGCGGAGCTCCGGAGAGGTGAGAAGGTGGTCAGTGGCGTGTCCTGGGAGGCAGGACGGCCGAGGCAGCTCAGAGCGGAGGCCCTCCTCCGCCCAGCCTCTGGGGTGCACCGCTTGGGTCGGGCATCCTGCCCTCCGACTTTGGGTGGAAGGAAGGAGGAGGGAAGGTGGTCTTGGGTGCCTGTCATCCCTTTGAAAGTGATCTTCGGGCCAGAGTCTGTGGCCAGGTGGTGGTGCCAGGTGCAAACACCTGAGCTGGGCCTTTGACCAGGGGCCTGGCGGGTCGGGGGGGGGGGCGGTGGGCAAGGGCAGTCGAGAGGGGCTGGGTGTCAGGGCCCCTTGGAGGGCCAAGGCCAAGGTAGCCCTTCCGCAAAGTGGGGTGTTGGCCGCGTGCCGAAGGGGTCACTCCAGACTGAGATGAGTGGGAACGCGGGATGGGGGTGTCTCCGTCCCATTTGGGTGACAAAGCCGCTGGGGGTTGGGGGGAAGTTGGCCCCAAATGTCTGGACACAAAGTGGGCACCCAGAGACGCCATCCTGGTGGGTGAGGGGCGGTGGGAGCAGGGGGATGCCGGAGGGGGTGTGGTGGTGATGGGGCAGGGGGTCCCTGGACCAGGTGGACAGGGTGCCCTGGGCTCCGGGAAGTCCCTCTATCCCACTTGGTGCCAGGCTGGGCGCACGGGGGTGGCGGCTGGAAATGTCCTTTCAAGGGGCTGAGACCCCCTGGTCAGGGCGGCGAAGGTCCAGCAGGGGCCAGTCCTGCAGGATGGCCTCGTGGACGGTCCCCAGAGGGCAGCTGTGGGGCGGGGCCTCGGGACAGGCTTCCCGGGGCCTGGCCCGCTCACCCTGTGTGTCCCTGCTCCCCCAGAGGGCAGGACCCGGAACCATGGCCACAGCGTCTGCAGCACTTGGGGCGACTTCCACTATAAGACGTTCGACGGCGACATTTTCCGCTTCCCGGGCCTCTGCGACTACAACTTTGCGTCTGACTGCAGGGACTCCTACAAGGAGTTTGCGGTGCACCTGAAGCGGGGCCTGGGACGAGATGGGGCTCACCCCCAGCTCGACTACATCCTGCTGAACATCAAAGACGACACTATCTACCTCACCCGCCAGCTGGCGGTGCTGAACGGGGCCGTGTGAGTGGGGCTGGGCGGCCCCGCGAGGCCCTCCACCAGCTAGGAGGGTGTCGGGTTTGAGTTCGGGTCACTGACCCATTCCGCAAACACCTATGGGCCCCGGCCAGGAGCCCCCATGGGTGCGAGGGGCTTCACCCATCCTGTACTGGGGGCCCCAGGCCCCCCCTGTTACCCAGGCTCGAGTTACCCAAGGCGGGGCCGCGGGAGGCCCTCTCCCCTCCCCAGCTATTGTTCCCCATTGTCTCGGGAACAATGGGCTCTAAGCCGCATTCCTGCCCAGCCTCCTGCAGGGTGTGCCCTTTGTTTCCCCAGGGGGTTGTGTATAGGCCCCCCGGGGGCACAGAGCTGGGGCCTGGAGGAGGGGCATAAAGAAGGACAGGGGCAGGCGGGAGGCCAGCAGGCCAAGGTGGACAGGGCTGACCTGCCACGGCCCCGGCTGCCCCGGAGGGTGGCCACGCCGTCCGTGGCCCTGGCACTGGGAGCGGAGGCCACCCCACCCACAGGACGTGCAGCCTCAGTCCCCTCTGGGCAGTGGGTGACTGTGTGGGCCTGCGCGTGACTCCCGCCTGGCGCCCCTCCCCAGGGTCAGCACCCCGCACTATAGCCCCGGGCTGCTCATTGAGAAGAGCGACGTCTATACCAAGGTCTACTCCCGCGCGGGACTCACCCTCATGTGGAACCGGGAAGACTCCCTCATGGTGGGTGCAGCCCCCGCCACAGCCGGGGGTGCCTGGCGGAGCTCAGGGGCCAGCGGACCGGCCCCCGTCACGAGCGGATCGGCAGCAGAGGGGGCCCCTCGGGGCCCAGGGTGCGGGGGGAGGCGGGCTGGCCCTTCGCCCACCCCCCCACCCCTGTCCTGGTCCTCAGCGATCCCCGGTGCCAGGACACCCCGGGGCTGACCCCAGCCTCCTGCCGTACCGGGCGCCCGAGCGGAGGGAGGTGCTGGGGACCAGCCTGGCCGTGGTCCCGCTCACCTGCCTCCCGTTCCCCCTCCAGCTGGAGCTGGACAGTAAGTTCCGGAACCACACGTGTGGCCTCTGCGGGGACTACAACGGCCTGCACGTCTATTCAGAGTTCCTCTCTGACGGTAGGGTCTCCTTGGGGGCCTGGCGGGCGGGGCGTGGGCGCTGGGTCCCTGCCGCTGCCCCGCTGACAGGCCTGCGCCCCCAGGTGTGTCCTTCAGTGCCATCGAGTTTGGGAACATGCAGAAGATCAAAAAGCCTGGGGCCGTGTGCGAGGACCCCGAGGAGGAGCCCGCGGGAGAGTCCTGCTCTGAGCACGTGAGTCGCTGGCGGGGGAGGAGCCGTTCCCGGGAGGGAGGCCGGAGGTGGGGGGGGGTGCGTCTGGGGGTGTCGCGGAGAAGAGAAGGGCGGGAGCGGCCCTCATCCCCTCACCCCCGCGTCTGTCTGCCAGCGCACCGAGTGCGAGAGGCTGCTGACGGGCTCGGCCTTCGAGGACTGCCTGGGCCTGGTGCCGCTGGAGCTGTACGTGCAGGCCTGCGTGCAGGACCGCTGCCGGTGCCCGCCGGGCGCCTCCTGCGTCTGCAGCAGCCTCGCCGAGTTCTCCCGCCAGTGCTCGCACGCGGGCGGCCGGCCGGGCACCTGGAGGACCCCCGTGTTCTGCCGTAAGCGCCGCGGTGCCGCCGGGCGGGTGGGGGCTTGGGCACCGCGGGGCCCTCAGGGCGGGGGCCGTCCAGGGACGGGGCGGCCTGGTGCCCTGCATCCCGGCCCCCTGTACCCTGGGCCCCCTGAATCCCGGCCCCGTTGTACCCTGGGCCCCCTGCACCTGGCCCCCTACACCTGGGCCCACTTGTACCCCAGCCCCCCGTACCCTAGCCCCCTGCAGCCCGGCCCCGTTGTACCCTGGCCCCCCGTACCCTTGCCCCCTGCACCCGGCCCTGCTGTACCCCGGCCCCCTGTACCCCGGCCTCCCTGCACTCCGGCCCCCTTGTATCCTGGCCCCCTGTACCCTAGCCCCCTGCACCCTGGCCCCCTGAACCCCATCACCCCTGCAACCCGGTCCCCTGCACCCCGGGCCCCCTGAATCCCGGGCCCCCTGCATCGTGGCCCCCCTGCATCCCGGCCCCATAGTACGCTGGGCCCCCTGCACCCCAGCCCCGCTGTACCCTGGCCCCTTGTACCCTGGCCTCCCTGCACCCCGGCCCCCCTGTACCCCGGCCCTCCTGCACCCCAGGCCCCCTGTACCCCGGGCCCCCTGAATCCTGGGGCCCCTGCATCCTGGTCCCCCTGCATCCCAGCCCCGTTGTACCCTGGACCCCCTGCACCCCGGCCCCGCTGTACCCTGGCCCCCCGGCACCCCGGCCCCCCGCACCCCGGGCCCCCTGTACCTCTGCGTACGTGTCCACTCAGGGGCCTGCCTTTGCCTTTGCAGCCAAGAGCTGCCCCGGGAACATGGTTTACCTGGAGAGCGGCTCACCCTGCATGGACACCTGCTCACACCTGGGAATCAGCAACCTGTGTGAGGAGCACCGCATGGACGGCTGTTTTTGCCCGGAAGGTGTGTGCTGTGGAGGCCTCGGGGCAGTGGCTGGTGGGTGGGCGCTGCCCTGAGATGGCCCGCCCAGCCCTGTGTGCCCTGGGACCGGGGGGGCGGCGGTGGGGGGAGGTCAGCGATGGCGCTGGACACGAGGGGCGGTGCCCTCTTCCCTGACACTGGGTAGAAGGGACACAGAAGCTGAAGACTGCCTCCCAAGCGCACACAGTGGGGCTTCAGGGAGTCTCGGTGGGAGGACTCCTTCCTGGTCATCACCCGAGGGCACCTGTCCCGCTGCCCTGCTCACAGAGCCCGGAGGCCCCCAGGGAGGTGGTCTGGAGGCTGTGTTCCCAAGGCAGATCCCTGACCGGGTGATGTGTGGGGGCACAGGTGTCCCCGAAGGACCAGAGGGGCCTGCGGGTGGGAGGCCTGGCTGGCAACCCCACCTGGGAGATTGCCCCATCACAGGCCAGCCCGGGGCTGCGGCCCTGCCGGAGAAAGCCCCGCTGTGGGGATTCTGGGGTTTTCCGAGGCTGGCCGAGGATAACGTCTCTCCCCTACCATCCAGGCACTGTGTACGATGACATTGGGGGCAGAGGCTGTATTCCCGTCAGCCAGTGTCACTGCAAGGTCCACGGGCACCTGTACTTGCCCGGCCAGCAGATCACCAACGACTGCGAGCAGTGGTAGGTCCTGGGCTGGGAGCTGGTGGGCTGGGGGCCTGTGGGCTGGGGGCTGGTGGGTCTGGGGTCTGGGGCCCTGGGCTGGGAGCTGGTGGGCTGGGGGCCTTGCGCTGGGGGCCGGCAGGCTGGGGGCCAGTGGGCTGGGTGCCCTGGGCTGGGAGCCTTGGGCTAGGAGCCGGTGGGCTGGAGGGGGCAGCTGAGCCTGACCCTGTGCCCCATGGCCCACAGCGTCTGCACCGCCGGTCGCTGGGTGTGCAAAGACCTGCCATGCCCAGGCACCTGCGCCCTGGAGGGCGGCTCCCACATCTCCACCTTCGACGGGAAGAAGTACACTTTCCACGGCGACTGCTACTACGTGCTGGTCAAGGTAGCTGGCCGGGTGGCGAGCGGGCACGGCTGGCTCCCGGCCCTGCATCAGGCTCTGTGTGGGTCGCTGCCACCGTCCCTGTCCCCTGCAGGGCGACCACGACTCCTATGCCCTCCTGGGTGAGCTGGCCCCCTGCGGCTCCACGGACAAGCAGACCTGCCTGAAGACGGCGGTGCTGCTGACCGACAAGAAGAAGAACGTGGGTGCCCCCGCCCCTCCCCACCCGGCGCCCCTGGGCCCCCAGGGCCCCTCTCAGCCCCACCGTCCCCTCTGCCTGTCCCGCAGGTGGTGGCCTTCAAGTCGGACGGCAGCGTGCTGCTGAATGAGCTGCAGGTGAACTTGCCCCACGTGACTGGTGAGTCCTGCCCCCTCCCCTCCCCCCCCCCATGACTGGTGGGTCCACGGGACGCCCAGCCGGGGGTGGCGCTGGAGGAAGCGCAGCCCCCTGCAGCTCCAGAGCCCCTGCTGACGAGGGGGACCCCCGCCCCCTGCCTTGCAGCCAGCTTCTCCATCTTCCAACCATCCTCCCACCACCTCGTGGTGAATACCGCCTTCGGCCTCAGGCTGCAGGTGCAGCTGGTGCCCGTGATGCAGCTGTTTGTGACGCTGGACCAGGCCGCCCAGGGGCGCGTGCAGGGTGAGTGGTGCCCTCGGCCCGCCCCCACAAGGGCCCCGCTCGCTCGGGGCCTGCCCCCTGGCGCCCCGCCCCTTCCCAACCCTGTCCCGGCCCCTCAGGCCTCTGCGGGAACTTCAACGGCCTGGAAGGGGATGACTTCAAGACGGCGGGCGGGCTGGTGGAGGCCACGGGGGCCGGCTTCGCCAACACGTGGAAGGCCCAGTCGAGTTGCCACGACAAGCTGGACTGGCTGGAGGACCCCTGCTCCCTCAACATCGAGAGCGGTGAGGCTCGGCCCCCCCCCCCCCGCCGGGTGCACGGGACGCCCCGCGGGACCCGTTGGCCGGGTGGGGCTGGGGGGGGAGGCCGGCTGGCCAGCCTGCCCAGCTGCTGCTTTCTGCCGCGTGGCTGTGTAGGGTGGTCCACGGTGGCTGCCCGCCAAGAGTCACCGCGGAGGGGCCAGGCTTGCTGGCTAATCACTGGGTGGTGGCCCTCGCCCAGGGGCTGGTCCGGGGACATGACACATGCCTTCCCACCCACCAGGTCAGGGCAGGTTGAGTGTGGGGCGGCTGTGGGGGTGTGGCCTTGCATCGGGCTGGAGGGGACTGGGCTCCAGGGGACCGAGTGGGTTCCAGCTGGGCGGCCAGGCAGCGGGGCTCAGGGGACCTGCTGGAGGGGCCCGCCCCTGCTGAGGCTCTGTGCGTCCTCTGCAGCCAACTACGCGGAGCACTGGTGCTCCCTGCTGAAGAAGACAGAGACCCCCTTCGGCAGGTGCCACTCAGCCGTGGACCCCTCGGAGTATTACAAGGTGGGTGGGACCCGCGGGACCCGCATGGGCACTGCCCGTCGCCCGATCTTGCCCGGAAGGTGCGCTCTGTGCGTCGGGCCGAGCCGACCCTTGGCCTCGAGTCTGCCCCTGGGAGCCGTCGACCGCCAGCACGTGTGCGCGCGGGGGTGCCCGCGTGGGTTTGCCCCTTGCGGGGTGGGAGCCGGTGCGTGTGCGCGCGCGCGCGCGCGTGTGAGCTGCTTCCCTCGCTCACTGCCTGCCTCACTTTCCCCCAGAGGTGCAGGTACGACACGTGTAACTGCCAGAACAGCGAGGACTGCATGTGCGCCGCCCTGTCCTCCTACGCCCGCGCCTGCGCCACCAAGGGCGTCATGCTGTGGGGGTGGCGGGAGCAAGTCTGCAGTGAGTGCCGGCCCCCGCGGGGTGCCTGGCGTCCCCCGTGGCGGGAGGGGTCAGCCCCGCTGTTCCGCGCTGGCAGGGCGGGGCCCAGAAGAACCGCGGCCCGGGGTTCCGGGGGGGCGGGGCTCCCGTGCGCCATCTCAGGGAGACTGCCCTCGTGGGCCCCTCGGCCGGGGTGCGGCTCAGGGACGGCCTGTGGGGCGGGGGGCCGGGGGGCCGGGGGCCGTCCCTGCGCCCCTCACGCCCGCCCCGCGCCTCCGCAGACAAGGACGTGGGCTCCTGCCCCAGCTCACAGATCTTCCTGTACAACCTGACCACCTGCCAGCCCACCTGCCGCTCGCTCTCCGAGGCCGACACCCACTGCCTCAAGGGCTTTGCACCGGTGGACGGCTGCGGCTGCCCCGACCACACCTTCCTGGATGAGAAGGGCCGCTGTGTGCCCCTGGCCAAGTGCTCTTGCTATCACCGCGGCCTCTACCTGGAGGCCGGGGAAGTGGTCCTGCGGCAGGGGGAGCGATGGTAGGCGGTCTGGGGTGGGGGAGCGTGGGGGGGACCCACGGGCCCGCCCGCCCCCACGAGGGGCCTGTTCACCTCCTGCCTCTTCCCCTCAGCGTTTGCCGGAACGGCAGGCTTCAGTGTGTTCAGATCCAGCTGATCGGCCTTCGTAAGTAGTCTGCGTGTGCCTGGCTCCCCACCCCTCACCCATCCCCGCCTGCTGAGCCCCCTCCCCCCCCCAGCCCCCAGCCCGACCTCCACTGAGCCGAGGAGGCCCCCTCTGTCCCACAGGCTGTCAGGCCCCAAAGATCCACGTGGATTGCAACAACCTGACAGCGCTGGCCATCCAGAACCCGCGACCCACCAGCTGCCAGACGCTGGCTGCCGGCCACGTGCGTGTGGGGGCCGCCGTGGGGGGGAGGGTGTCCCCAGGCGTCCACACTGGCCCCGGGACCTGGAGGTTGGGTCCCGCGCGCACACGGGCCTCACTGGCCCTCCCCGTCCCCAGGCGGGGGAGGTGGTGGCCGGTCGG